TATAATGCTTTGAGAAAATATGCATTTTTTTAAATATAAATTAGTTATTGATATGTAAATATTTTATGCTTTGAGAAAATATTGTTTATTGCACATGAGTAATTGCAAAAGTTATGTTAGATGATTAAAAGGTTAGTAGGCTTACACCATTATGGATTGTCTTATGTGTTGTTTGTTTTTTTTAAAAAAACATCTTCAGACATTTTATTGTTGCGCGGAGCAGCACACGCGCAACACTTTTAATCTCGCAACTGTTTGTTTTTTAGAAGTCTTCAGAGTAAAAAACTTATATGTGTGTTCTGTTTGGCGCAACACTTGTATTGCCTCTTTCTGCCTCTTCCAACCTATTCTTCTTCTTTTTTCTTGCTGAATTCTTGATTATATGTTGCTGAAATCTTATTTTACCTTTTTTTTTTCATTTTTTTGTTAATTCTATTTGAATTCTTTTTTTTCGATTTTTTATATTGAATAATGACAATTTCTTGATGAAATATCATTATTTTTTGCTAAAATATCTATATTTTTTGTTGAAATATCATAAATTCTTGTTGAAATGTCATACATTATTAATTCTTCGGTATTAAAAAACTATTTCGGTTTATAAAATCAGTTTATTTTAATTTTTTAATATCTGCAGCAGCATGCAGATGTTAAAAAAACAAACACATTTTTTATTACAGTCTACAGCCGTTTGGTCCACCTCTTCTACTGCAGAGGGTTGCAGAGGTGGTCCGCAGACTTCATGAATTTTTGCTTCAGAAAAACAAACAACACCTTAGTTGTGGACGAAGTCAATGGAAAAACCTTTAGTTGTAAGTCATAATTGTTTTTTTTTTTTTTTACATTTTATTTATCATTGGTAAAATGTATAAAAAAACTAACTAAATTTACAATTTTAAAATTTATTTACCATCAAAAGTCATTAGTCTTCTAATTATGTTTACTATAAAGTTTAAAAATTTATAATTTTTCAATCATTCAGATATTATACATAAAATCATTAATTTCATTAACTTATAAAATTTCAAATGAAAATTAAATTTCAGCTTCAAACAGTAATTTCATACTTTTGGATGATTTTAAATGAAACTGCCTTTGCAAAACAGTAATGGTATAATAAATAACCTTGTTAATATTAAATACGAGAAATACAATTATACGATTTTAATTATGAAAATCATATATGGTATAGTAGTATATATCTTTTGTAACATTAAATACAAGAAATATATTATACTATTTCAATTATGAAAATCATTTAAGTTTTTGTAAACTTTTAGTTTTTAGCTTTTAAAAAGAATGGATTTTTTTTCGTTTAATAATAGGAGCTTTTAGCTTTTATATAAACAAAAAGTTTTAAATATAAAAGTTACTTCAAATAGCTTTTAAGACATTTTAGATTATAGTTTTTAACTGATATTACATTTTCAAAAGCTAAAAACTATTTTTGTCAAACACTTGTACATAAACAAAAACTACACTTTCCAATTATAAACTATTAGTTTCTAGCTATCGGTTAGTTTTTTCAAACATAATGTCACATGATACGTCAGGTCAACCCAAACTCATCATGTTTTTTTTTTTCATTTAGAAGAATATTAATGACATCATGACATTAGATGGCAATGACACGTACAACTTGTTTTAAATAGACTTTTGTCATTTTAAATAGTAAGCAACTTCTAAAATATTTCAGTAAAATCAAATTGAGTCTAAACAATCCAATCCATCATAAAAAATGAAGACCGCTTTTATATTTGTAATTCAAGTATATCTCTTGGTCCTCGTTCAATGTGTAGAGAATCAGTTTCAGTTTCATCCTTATGTGAAATTCTTAAAGATTCACAATTCTAAAAAGAGTTACGTTAGTCAAGATTTGAAAGTCGAGGATCTTATTGTTTATAAAGGGTCCCAACATGGTAAGAAGGAGGCGGACAAGATTTTAAGGTTGCCAGGACAGCCAAAAGGACCAAAATTTAATCAGTATTCAGGATATGTAACAGTTGATCCAAAACATGGTAGAGCTCTATTCTACTATTTTGTCGAGTCCACTCACGCACCCTCTAGAAAACCACTCGTGTTATGGCTTAACGGAGGTACAAAAGCACCACATTTAGCATATATGTATGTAGATGTTTTATTTTATGTGTTTTAGCTACATATTAATAATTGAATTTATTATAGGGCCTGGGTGTTCTTCGGTGGGAGGGGGGCTAATGATGGAGCTTGGACCATTTCGAGTCAACAAAGATGGTAAAACTTTATCCAACAACATATATGCTTGGAATAAAGGTAAAATAGTTTTCATTATTCATCAAAAAGTTTATTACATGTCTATTATTTTGTGAAAATGATTGGTGTACGAGATTTTTTTACGGAAAACATAAAATTAAAGGCTAAAAATATGTCTTCAAAACATATATATATATATATATATATATATATAT